ACCCCAAGAAGGCCCGAGCATATGGACCAGGTACACACACACACACACACACACACACACACACACACACACACACACACACACACATACTGAGAACAGAAACTTTCTAGCAGATGAAATGAAATCAGGTTGTCTCAATGCAAAGAGCAAAGTAAAGATACGATCAAACATTGTAACGTCGTTGTTGAACATATTTTTATTTACATAGATTTTAATGTTGTGAGTTAAAGGTTCTCTGATTGAACAACAGCTTCTGTGTTTGTGACCTGTTCTCACTGTGTGTTGGCAAATGTGTTCACTGGAAAACACTGGTGTGTCTGACAATGTGAGGAAGTGAGCAGCTGGTGGACTGAACAATGGCTCGCACTCCTATCTCACACACACACACACACACACACACACACACACACACACACACACACACACAGACAAAGATTGATGGTGAGGTCGTCCTCCAACTTGAGCTTATACCATGAGGAGGAAATACCTGGAAATGACTCCATATATAGTCAACAGGACACTACACACACACACACACACACACACACACACACACACACACACACAGAAAAAAGAAAACACTCAGACATAAGTTTTCAGTTCTTGTTCGAGAATAGAAAAAGAAAAATCAGTCAGTGATAATGTCTGTATTTCTAAAACTATCTTTGACATCATCGGTAAAAATGCGTCTTTCTATTTTCTTGCTGCGCAGGAATCGAGCCGACGGGGAACAGGGTGATGCGTCCCGCTGTGTTCACCGTGGACACGTTCAGCGCAGGTCAGGGACAGGTCACCATCTACCTGGATCATCCAGACGGCACCAGAGAGGAGGTACAAACCAAATCCTGCTCCTCCTCGTTCTCCTCCTCTGCATGTCTGACGTCATGAGAGAAAACGATGTCGCACTTGAATATTAAACATCTGTGTTGTTTCAGCTGAAGGCGGAGCCTAACGAGGGCAAGAAGACGTACAGCGTCACCTACATTCCTCAAGTGGTGGGAGCTCACAAGGTAAATTAAAATGGATTTCACTTTATCTCTATGTTCACATAGTTTTCAGGTCTATAAAAATGTCTTTCTGTTTGAGACTCTGGGTAACTGTCTCTTTCGTCTCCCAGGTGACGGTGATGTTCGCAGGTCAGCAGATTCCCAAGAGTCCGTTTGAGGTGAGCGTGGACAAAGCGCTGGGCGACGCCTCCAAGGTCACGGCCAAAGGGCCGGGAATTGAACCTGTGGGCAACATCGCGAACAAACCCACCTACTTTGACATCTACACCGCAGGTCAGAGACACTCACGACCTCTGAGCGTCACACAGATGTGACCGAACACATCACTCCAGACTTTAAACAAAAGAAAGTGTGAACTGTGCGTGCACATAAATAAAAGGTCAAACTTCTTTTTCCATCCCAGACTCATCGTACACATTTAGACGTCGTAGTCATCAACTAAACCTTGAAAATTACGAAGCTTTTGGCAGAAACTCAGTGGCGCAGGCCTCGTTTCAGACCCTGTTACAGTCTCCTGTGCTTTGCTGATCATAGGATTTAAGGGGTTCCTCACAGTTGTTGCTGCCGTGGACTCACGTAATGGTCCGTTCTCCAGGGGCCACCTCTCAGCAGTAATTGCCTGCTTTGTCCTCCCCTGCTGCGATGCTGCCATGTTCCCCATAAAGCTGAAATTCCATTAAAGATTAGTTGTTGAATAAAGTTTCCCTTTGTCTTCACGTCTCCTCTGCAGGAGCCGGCACAGGAGACGTCACGGCCATGATCAAAGACCCTCAGGGCCGCCAGAACAGTGTTGAGGTGATGATGGAGGACAAGGGGGATGGTGTGTACCGCTGCACCTACCGACCCAACCAGGCCGGCCCACACACTGTGACTGTAACCTTTGGAGGGGTGGGGATCCCCAAGAGCCCCTTCAGCGTTGACATGGGGGCCGGTGAGTCGTTTCAGCTCTGCCACATTATTTAGAGTTCGAGTAAAATAAATATTGTTGTCACCATCATCAGAAAAAACATCTCCTCACTCCTCCATGTGCTTTCTCCCCGGTTTGCCCAGCCTGCATGCCGGGGTCGTGCAGGGCGACGGGTCGGGGTCTCCAGCCGACGGGGTTGAGGGTGAAACAGGTCGGAGACTTCAAGGTTGACACCAGGACGGCCGGCAGCGGAGACCTGAAGGTTGTCGTCAAAGGACCCAGTGAGTTGAATCTGTTCAAACTCTGTAGAGACACGAAGTGTGAAAACATCACCTCACTCCTCTGAACCCAAGCTTTAGTGTTAGAGATGTTTAAAGATGGTGCTGATCACTGTTCGCTCCTCATCGTCCTCGTCACAGTTCCATCTATTTATTTTTAGTATCACATGAGCCCGTGTTTAGTTTGAGCTTCTCGGGACCGAAAGTCTTTTATCTGTTGCTCAGTGAAAACTCAAGTGGACAGAGTGTTTACAGTCTGAGACCCAAAGCTGCGTCTTTTACTTCCCGTCTCACACACACCTCTCCTGGTTCTGTTTTATTTAGATATTTTTTTCAGTTTTAGAGACTAGTTTTAAAAAAACACTCCGCAGATAATGAAATTTTTAACCATCCATATTGTTTTAACCTATTTACACCTGGTATTTAGTGGAAATTTTAATTAAATAACCTTTAAGCACTTTCATTAATCTCTTCCACGAGAGATGGTTTTCTCAAATTGCTGATGTGAAACCTCTCAGTTATACAGAGCTCATTTTCAAGCTCAGGTTTTATTTGTCATCTGTAAGTTTAGTTAACAGAAGGACAGAGGTACACTGAACAATATTAAATAATTCAAAACATTACTGTTTAATATCTTAAGTTGAACCTCGATGGTTCTCGGTAGCTCGGCTCTCCCGTCCGGCGCATGAGCTCGGTCTTGTGGATTTGAGTTTAACGTCAGAACTTTCTTTTTTTAATTAGCTCTCATTTGTGATTACGCTGTTTGTAACGTGTGTGTTTTTCAGAAGGCATGGAGGAGCCGGTGAAGCAGATCTCCAGTCAGGACGGTGTGTTCTCCTACGAGTATTTTCCCAACAGTCCTGGCAAACACTCCGTCTCCATCACCTGGGGGGGTCAGCACATCCCGAAGAGGTGAGCCGTAAACTCTGCGTGTTTGTGGTTTAAGGCATTACCTCAGCACATTACCTCATCCGATGTGAATGGGTGGATCCTCAGGGGAATGGGGAGCGTTAGTCTGGGCCTCGGGTTTTCTTTGTCACTTCTCTGAAGAGGAGGTTGTGTGTTTTGTTGTGCAGACATTAAAAACCGTGCAGGGAGACACGTTCTTTCCTGGAGGGTTTTTTTTTTTTTTTTTT